AAAAAAAAAAAAAAAAAAAAAAAAAAAAAAAAAAAAAAAAAAAAAAAAAACACCACAGTGCAAAACTAAATCTTCTTTTGCATTTTGGATATTTTTTAACCTCTGCTCATAATCTGCTGAACATTGCCAAAATCCCATTTGGTCAGCTTGGCCAACAGCAGTGTTCTTGCCTTGGGAACAACAGGAAAGAAAATAACAGCCTACAGCCATCTTCTATGCATTTATCTTTCAAATTTATAACACTTGCTTTGAATATATATATATATCTATATTACCTGCTCTGAATAAACTCTAATGAGATCATGAGATTATGTGTAATTTTTGTAATAAAACAATAAGAACTACACAAAGTTGAATTTTTATTGCACAGCTCTAATTTTACTTTACTTCACTAAATTTACTCTAAATATACTCTAACGCATTAGAGTATGGCAAAGTAAAATTCCAGGCTAAATTATATACATTCTTGGACACATGAATTAAAGAAGAATCAAGTCACGTTGAGTCAACACAGGCTGCATGCAGAGCACAACTTTCCCCTTCAGGGAAGAAGAGAAAAGAAACTGTGGCTACAGAGAAGAGTAGTGAAAAAACCCTTCAGCCTGTTTTCCATCGGTAAAGCCAGCTGGATATTGGTTGTTTGAATGTGAACAATAAAGTTCTACACCAAGACTGGCTTTCTTCTGCATAAAATGTACAGTTCAAATCACAATTCTGGAATTAGGTAGGCACCAACACTGGTCTCCAGTTTGGTAAACTAAACTATCAGTTATGGCTTGTTCCTACCAGTGACACAGGCTTAGATTTCCTACACTTTTGTTGACAATTAAAGCAGGAAAGGAAAAAAAATACCATAAGCTGAGAGTCTAAGGAAGGCTGGGAAAACAGTGGATTTGGAATACGAAGGAAGGAAGAAAAAAAAGGTCTGTAGGATAAATAGAGACAATTAGTGCAGCTGTACAAGCAAAGATCACAGTTTGTTTTCACCACCAAAATGAAATGCACTTTTACAAGACAGACATCCCCATGTGACATGAGCAGGGCCAGACTCCCTCCTCCCCCGTGTGACACCCCGTGATGCACAGCCTTGCTAAAATGAACACACAGATAGATCTGTCTTTGTTTAGATCAGTCAACATGAAGGTGTTTCTTCACTAAAGCTCTGTGGTTGCACGGCTGGCTCAGATTATTTATCTTCTTACAGGAGCATATCCTTCTTAGTACCATAAGAACACATCCCCCAGCACAGTGTCTATATGGTAGCCTTTATTCTGGCATTTCATGACATTTGAGTGCTTGTATTTGAAACCTGACCATTGGGAAAGGGAGAGAGGGATATCTGGAATAAAACTGATATAAGGTTGGGTCACCTGGGGCTTCTTACTGCAGCACAACAGAACCATAAATCCATTTAAGGATCCTAAGTCAGAGTCCTCACGTGATCAGGGCCAAGAACTCTGCTCTCTTACACAATCCAAGAGCTTCGGTCATGGTATCCACTAACCATCTCTGAGTGTCACAGTTAATTCTCCAGGGTCATGAAATTAAACATGAATAATTGTATCGGCTTAAAACTTTCTACTTAACTCTCTGCTTCATATTTTCATGTTTATTTAGAATAAAATTTTCTTTGCCTGAAAACACAGAGGTAATTTTAAGTTACCCCATGACCCAAATGAAGAGAGCTATGCTAATGTTCAAGGGGTCTAATCTCAAACAATGCTTGAGAAAATTTTTTCCATACTGATTTAGATGCCAGTAATCTACCCTGGGGCCTGAACTGGCAGTCTTCAAACTGGACATGTGACTTGGAGAGGCTTGAAAAGTAGGTTTTAAACAGAATTGCTGCTGTAATGCTAATTGCAGAGTAATGTTCCTCTGTAATTTTGCTAGTGTTGTACTTACAATTATAAATCTTAAGATAGGTGACTCAAGTAGTTTGATGAATAATCTCAGCTAGCCAAAGAGAAAAGTCTCTACAACAGCTATAGGAGAAGTTGAAAGACATCGATTACTTCACAAAGCTACAGATTTTTCAAACGCTAGCTGAAGTCTTGAAAACGCTAGCTGAAGTCTTGAAAACTATGCCAAGGAATCCCTTAAAAGGCACAAAAGTCAATATCTTAGGCTAAAAATTAAAAACAAAAACCAGTTATTTTACATTTTTGCAGACATAGACCTAATACCTGCACTAGAGGGTTTTTGATCTTTTAGACAGCTCTAGCAAGACCAACATTTCCCACCCCCACGAGCTCAGACCCAGAAAAGACATCCCAACACCTTTGTCAAAAGTAAGTTCTACACATCTACACATAAAAATAAGTCCTCTATATATCACCAGGGCAATTTCTCAAAAGGCAAACAAAAGGCAATTCCTCCTGCAGAACATTTACACCCTACACAGCAGAAGGTGACAGACCAGGCTCACTGAGGCAATGTCATTCCAAGCTCTCCACCTCATCCAGATTGCTTGCATGGCAGTATTGGGAAGTTTAGATAGCTGTGCCTGCCTCAGGATAACTTCAGTTGAAAAGGACTTTTGCAAAAGATGTGAATGGGATTACATCAATCACTGAGACCATCACTCCTGCCTTGATTGCTTTGTTCATTTAACCCAACTTCTGCTATTAAAAAAGCTTGTCAGCTTCTGTTGAGCACTAGGTGTCTGTGTCTGTTGACAAAGTAAAAAAAAAAAAAAAAAAAAAAAACTTAAAAAAAATCACTTAATCAAAATAATTCCTTACCCCAACATCTGCTCTTGGTTCCTTGTGATCAGGTAGGACACTGGTGCGGACCTGAGGGGGGTGAGAAAGGCAAACAAAACATTACTTTTTTGTTTTTACATTCCAATAAGAATGTGAGAAGTGCTTATGCATTTCTTTCCTAATACTTATGACATTTTGGAGATAAATTTAAATGGAGATATATATGTATACATAATTTAATAAGAATTCATTTAATTGAAATAATTTAAGCACAATATCTGCTGGCTCCTGTGGAGAAAGTCTCTTACCACTAGCCATTTATCATTTTGAAATTTCCTCATTCTCTAAAGGAAGAAAGGCTGTGCTCAGTAGTTCCCCTCCTAAAACCAGACTCTTTGACTCTAACCTGAATGACAGAATTCTTTATCTAGAGGCATTTTCAGGAAACAAATTTTTCAACCATAATGAAAGAACACAGGGTATTAAAAGGTATTTTCTCCAAATAAATACTTGCCTTTGCCAGCTGATGTGCAGAACTCCTGACCCCACTCTCACTCAATGTATGGCCCTGCCTCCTCCTCCCACTTGCTGAGCATCTCTGAGCTGACAGATGTTTGTAGGCATTCACAGAAGAAAAGCCTCTGAATTCTCCCCTCCACAGGACCTGTTGTTGCATTTGCATGCAAGTTGTCCTTGCATTTTCTGCAAGGTGGAGCTGCCATTGTGCACAACTACTTGCATTTCACATTAACAAGTATGGGACAATCTGACCTCTGTATTTCCCAAAATACAGTACAGGTTGGGGAGAGGTGTGTGTGTGGCTTTAGTGTCTATATAATTTCATTGTTGAGCATTGGTTAAAAACAGAGAACTGATTAAACAGTAAAAATTAGAAAAAGGGTAAGAAAACCTCTGTAGCATCCTTCTAACATGGCCTGCCTGAGCCAAAACAGCCCATTGGAATAACTTGCTCGTAAAAGCAACACACGGGGGACAATGTACTGAGCATCCACATCTGTTTAATTTTCTAGCCTAAAAAACATATATTCAGTCACAGCACAGCCCTACCAGGACAAATTTTTGGGTCAATTTCCAAGTAAAAGTCAAACCCATTTGCAAATCTCTCAGCAAAAGACTAATTTTGTCCATGCCCCCAAATATGTCCCTCAATTCTTCCATTCTAGCTGCAAATTGCTGCACCTTTCTTCAAAAACAAAAAACCTTTCTTCAAAAAAAAGATAATTTTATTTGTCTGGGTTTTATTCTAAATACATGTTGTTAGAAAGCACCAATCCAAAGTCTACCATAAGACTTGACAAAGTAGAACCATTCCTTTTCTCAGTCAGCTCTTATCCCTTGATTCCCTCCACTGAGAAGCTTTTTCCCACAAAAGCCTGAAGATAGTAAAAAAATGCTATAATTAGTTTAATGAGGGCCAGTATGCTTTAGAAATCTGTAGAAGTCCCGTTTGGATGCAATTTTACATTTAAATTTTCCCCAATAACCTAACATTAGCAACTCCAAGGCATTTGATTTTCTACAGAAAACTAGTACAAAATTGTCAAGGCAACATTTGTATCTAAAATTTACTTTTAAATGCTTCAAATCACAAACTAAAATAAAAGTGCTGATTTTTCCTTGCTGGTGATGCATATCTTACCCTTTTTGGAGCTGAGGAAATAACTCAGAGCAGATGTGCTTCTTGAAAGAAAGACACGGTATCAACGCCAGGCCAAAAAATGCTGTGCCATTTTAAAATGCTAAAAAGCTGTTCCACGTGCTAGCCTTGAACAGGTAACACCTGGCTCAACATGCAAGGGAGGTGTTGGCATTTTCTAATTATTATGGATATTTATTCAAGAAACAGAAACAAATAATTTAAGAATGGACCTTCCTCTTCATCCCTGAGTTATAGGAGATATATTCATAACCCGGCAGCCATTTAGCAAGTATTTTAAAATGTGTACATGTTTTGCATGATACTAAGGGGTGGTTTGCAGCAAGAGAAAGCTCAAGTATCTTTTCTGCTTACTGAAATCGATGGATTAAATCAATGGAACACACATTTAGAATCACAGAATATTAAATTCCTTCTTTTGCTGGATGAAGTCTCAGTTCAGGAGAACATACTTCTGTTTTTCTGACCCAGCAGAGACCTGGAAAGGGATGTCAACACCTGACTAACCTACAGCCTTCCATATGCCCAAAACTTATTTCTTAATTCCAAATGAAGTTAAAATACAGAAACAATTTCTCTTGTGTTTTTGAATACTTTTTGGGTTGGTTACATGTTTTTTTTTCATTTGGTTCTAACCACTTTATAACCAGTAGTTGTACAGCCAAATATAACACTGTGGTGTTTGATGGGACTGACATTAGACTGCACCTCGTTTCTCTCTGAAATACATTTCTTTTTATAGGAAATTGGGTATCTTGGTCCAAGTATGTGCAAATACATATAACTTTGGAAATAGTTTTATTATTTAATATTTATTAAAAAGAGAAGTCACATATGTCTATGTCTATACATACATGGGAGTTATAGTCTGATCCCTTTAATGTCTACTGGTTGAATTCCCAAACAAACTCTCCAAATACTGCAATTATCAGGGTCCTATTAACAGATGTTCACATAATCCCAAGCAAACCTCATTACACACACAGTCAGACATCTTGTAACCAATTATAAAACGTAAGAAACAACTCCGCTCTAGTCCCAACCCACAAAATGAAAGAGAAAAAAAGGAGAGAAATACAAAGGATCTGAAAGATCAAATATCCTCCCAGTATCTTTAGAGAATCACAGACTGTGTTGAATTGGGAGGGACCCACAAGGATCATTGAATCCAACTCTTAGCTCTGCAAAGGACCTTCCCAAGAGTCACACCATGTGACTCTACTTTTTAAAACTTCCTCATAAACCAGTTTTTCCCTAATGGCACCAATAGTATTCTAGAACAACTACAAAATATAAATGCGAACAAAAAGTCAGATTTTAATCCCAAGTAGCCACTACTCTGTTAGAATTTCAGTTTTCTCATTAGTTGCTCTAGGTTTTCCTGAGCAAATTGCAAACCTCTGGATGGCAAGTTTATTCACAGCTGGGAAAAGATCACAATTCCCTGCAGTAGCACACACTACAACTTTACTTTCCCTGACATGAGATGTATGAAGAGATCAAAAAGGTATGCAAGAAAGACAGCTTGTAACCTAAGCTAAATGCAAAATGTCCAGGACAGTATTCACTCCAGTGATTCTGCTTGTAAAGTAATAGTTATCTAGTATAGATTACAGCTGCCTGTACCAGGAACAACACTAGTGAACTGCAGTGAATATCAAGATACATTTAATTTTCTGTAAATGTTATACAGAACAATATGCAATGAGTAGCTATTCTTATACTTTCTAGTACATTTATCACAGACATATCTGTCCAATTCCTCTAGGCATAAATGCTAAATTCAGCTTTAATTAGCTGTCCTTTAGTATAAGGCAGTTTCATGTGATTAAAAAGAGCATTTCTTTCAGTCATTTGCAGCAGTCTGGGCCACATCCACACACACTGTCAAAGTTCAGAAAATTGAATCGGTATCATTACTGAATCTTTTGTGCCTGCCCTTAATTAAGGCCTTTGAATTGCAGTTTGTGATTAAAGGCCACATTCAGCTGGCACTCAAGTTTTGCAAACAAATACTGCTAGACCCTTTTCTTAGTTACTCTAGATTTTACTCTATCGAATTAACAGTGGTTTCCAATAACTTCCCAGTACTCACTGCTGTTGGCTGCTTAAATGCACTACTCTGTCACCACTGTTTCATGCTTCTGGCATCTCACGATAACCAAATACAAACCACATCAGGAGAGGCATAGGATGAAAGAGATCACTGAAAGCAGTTACTGAAACATTGACTTATGCTCTTTCAATACAGCAGCTTCCAGGAAAGCATTCCCAGCTTCAGTATAACTCTGGCAGTCGTGTAGGAACACAACATGCAAAGGCACGTTTACCTGGGTGTGCTCTGGGACACTGACCATCTGCACCTTTCTTTCCCCCACAGGGAAAAGGACTCTGATCTCTGCTAACACAGCCACCACAACTCCACAGACAGCTGCTATGGACAGTCAGCCCATCCTCACCACCACTGCCTGCCTGTCAGGCAGCACCACCCATCAGACTCAGCGAGAAACTACATTTCTTGGCACTTTTCAGTCTGAGAAGTTGTAGCTTCATTTTTATGTCCTGGACGAGCTGAAAGTGCTGAAATTGCTGCTGGGTTCTGCAACAACATCGGTCAGCTTTTATAGGATAGGACCCATTCCAGTACATGCAGCAAATTAATTTTTAAAAGAAGATATTGTACATTCACCAGCTATTTATTTTCATCATATAGATTAACAATTTGCTTAATAGTTCAGTCAACATATTGTAGTCAGCAAAGTAAAACACTTCCATCAATACTTTGTTGGATACGTGCTTATTGGATGGAGGACAACGCCAATACAGTAATTCTCCAACCTTTAGTGCATTATTATTTCCAAGAGTCCACATAAAGCAAAAGAGAAAATCTTTTCCCCTTAGACATGTACGCAGTACTGCAGGGTTTACAGTTCCAGCGGAAAAGTTGCTGTGCAGAGACACTAACAAATGTTAAAATTGAGTTAAAGATGAAACAAATAAAGGGAACAAAAGCTATAGCAACTTATTGCCATGCTTTTGCATTTCAATTCAAAATAAAAATTATAAAATATCATATGTATACATTTCCCTACTATAGATAGTACTGAATGTACAGGGAAAATAATACTTGCCATGTACCAACTTGACAGTTTCATCTGTTTATTTATCTGAAAAGGTCAAACAGAAGGACAGGCCTATCTGTGTGTGGCTGGATACTTTTTAAAGGCAGTGTTTGATCGTGACTCTCTCGCAGTGTGGAGTCTGAATCTTTCATTTGTGCAGCATTGACACTCCAGGCACCCTTTTCTACACTTAATAGGAGAATAATAGAAAATACATACTTCCTGGTCTCTAAGAATCAGCATAAACTGCTTGTTATTCAGACTTCTCTACAGTTGAATATCTTTTTCCG